AACTAGCAAAAGAGAATATAGTTGTATGAAGTTAAATACTGCAAAGGTGATAGGTTTAACATTTAATATGTTAGAGTGAAACTAATAGTATAAAAAAAAAAAAGAAGGATAATTTCATTCCGACAAAATGTGGTTCTAAAGTAATTGAATCAGCCTGGGTAAACTTTGACAAAAGTAACAGAGGATCTTCAGAAGAAAGAAGACCAAACGAATTATGATAATTTGCACCACAACTGTTAGTGAATCACATACAGAATGCTAGTATGATAGTAATATAGAGAAAGTAGTTCGACTTGTCAACTGAAATTCTAAAGTAATTGAATAGGCCTAGGTGGACTTTTGACAAGAAGAAGAGAACTATATACAAATAGTGTTTATGATATGCCTGTAATCTCTATAGTGTGAAGACTTTGTTGTATATACGTTTAACTTGTTCCAAAGTAAAGTGTGTGCTGTTTATTCATCATTGAATTTATTGCTAACAAGTCACAGACACCTACTGTAGAAGAATCCTCAGCCCAACAACAACATAATATATATTTATACTATTAAGAAATATAAGTAAAAGCCATTTATTTCTACAAATGGCAAAAAGAACAACACACACACACACATATACATATATATATATGTATATTATTTTTAAAATCTGACAGTCATGCACCACTCACCACAGGGTGGGATACAAACAATGAGCATTAATAAAAAAGAAAATGGTCCCTGAAAAGGAAAAATTAGAAAATGAAAAAAATAGCCTTCAAAGTCTCACTGAATTCTGATAGTCTAGAACGGCTACAGGCAGAAGACGATAACCCAAAGAGGAAGAAACCTCGATCTGATGTAGTGAGCGATGAATGTATCATGGGTAGTCCACATGCCGATTGAAGAAGTACCTCCAAAAGACGATGAAGATGAAACACCAATGAAAAGGTAAGGTGTCAAAGTGGGTGAGAAGACACTCGGAACAAAGTACAGGAGGAAGACAATAAAGAGGAAGATGCCAATCTATTGAAGAGCCAAACCCAATTGGCAAAGGAGGAAGGAGAAAGAACACGAACAGAGGTAGGTTGCCAAGGAAGAAAGAGAAGGGAATGGACACCACAGAAGGAAACTGTGCAGTCAATATAGCAGAGAAGAACATGTACAGGACATAAAAATCTGGATCAGGATGAGGATAAAAGTGTGAAACAAAAGGAAGGGAAAGTGGCTAAACAGAGGAGTTATCCTCATGAGCTGCCAAAGTGTTAGGGAAGAAAAATTATCCAAAGAAGGAAAATACATAGAAGGATAAAAGTATGTGAAACATTGATGGCAAAAGACAGACCACTGACATCCACAGGCAATTAGGAGAAGGAAGGAAAACATAAGGGAAGGTGAAACAAAGAGCACTGGGAGAGTGTTTTGGACGTGGGCAAAGTGAGGCAGTGCAGGACCCCATTAGTATCCCCATCCAAAAGAGCAGCCTTCCGTGGCAGATGACAAGTCTGGAAGGAACACATACACAGGTAAAGTGTAGGAGAGGTAAATACATGTGAGATCAGGAAAAATGAAAGTTGTAGGACAGGACCATCCAAAAATCCGAGACCACGGAAACAGAAGACCCTCGATCCAAAAGTCAAGAGAGGAAATCTTCATGACTAAAAATAGTGGGTTGATCAGGGGAAATACCCTGAACCCAGAAACCAACGACAGAAAAATTACATTTGCATAGAGAAACTTCCATATAGTAAGTACAAATAAAACAAGCCAGAAAAGAGACTAATCGTCGGGAGAAGCCAGATCACCTCTCCAATGACCAGAGGAAAACCAGGTGTGAAGACAGAGAAAAAGAAAGTCTGGATGAAACACTGGTGACTGAGAGTGGTGAAGAAGGGACAGAGGAAAAGGTAATGAAGGAGGAAGTTTGAGCTGGAGATGCCACAGAAATCACAGCTGAACAGCCGAGAAAAAGCTACCAGAAGGACTGAACACAGAGTGTCAAAGATGAACGAAATCACTGGGAGAAGAAGGAGAACCAGAGGATAGACAAATGTGTAGGTCCAATTGTGGCTGAAAACATAGATAGCCAGAGCAAGACGATGAGGAACCGGAGACCAAAACCAAGGTAATTTGTGGTTAAGGGATGTAAAAAAACCTTAAAGTAAGGAGTATCCTACTGCAGTCCAAACCACTGGAAAACAAAAGGATCGAGAGATCACTTCATCTGATAAATGTTGTCTGGACAGGAATCCAATCCACAACAAGAGCGAAAGCACCTGGAACATGACATGCAATGATAGGAATATCAAGCATGTAGACCCAAAAAGAAGATCCAAAAGATGAATACAGAGAGATGGAAAATGGGTGCTGCCCTGGTGATTGAGATAAGCAAGCACAGATGAAAAGTTGTAATAGATCATTACCAGATGATTTCTGGTCCAATGTAGAAAATGAACCAAAACACAATCTACAGCAAGAAGCTCAAGGACACTGATAGGATAAGACCTCTTGGCTGCAGACCAAAAACCCCAAATCTTCCAGCTGATCAACCCATGTCTCCCATTCAAAAAGGGTCGCATCCATGAAATGTGAAAAATCGGTTGAGGAATAAGAAGTGGGAAACCCGCCGATATGTGAGTCATATCTACCCACCAATGCCGATCGATGACAAGGGTAGAAGAAAATTCCATTTGTTGTGAAAATCCCCAAAAGAGCCCACATATGAGCCTGACCTAAGGGGATAAGGGCTACCATGGAAGATTACATTCCCAAAAGTGATAAAACTTTGCAAGCTGTAATCAAACTGAAAACCCATCGAACAAAGTCGAAGAGGAGAAAGGCAGGCTCAACTGAGATGGGTGTAGAAATAGAAAAACACCCAAATGGACAAGATATTAAAAAGGTCGCTGTAAGGACTTCTCAAACTTGATTAACAGCCCATTATAGCCATCTCCATGAGCAGTGGATAAGGGTAATAGTCAGACTCCTGTTCCGAATAAGCAAACACTAACTAGTCAACCAAAGAAAGAGGAAAGCGTAACCCAAGAGCATATAACTGATAAATAAATGCTCTAAATGTCCGACAAAACATACAGGGCCAAAGCAGAGAAACCACTCCGTGGAGAATAAACCGAAGAGAGGGTCACGAGTGATAAATTATCAGGATATGCAAATCATCATTTGTGACATTCCTCTTTGTCATCGATAAACCTGGAGAAAAAGCCCACCTAAGGGTGAGAAACAACTCCAAGGAAAAATGGGGTAGATTGGAAATTAGAATGAGGTGGGACAAACCTAGTACAGGCCACCAGTTTCCGGTTTGGTGCAAGGACAACAAACAGCCTGGAATAAAGGCTGGAGAAAGATGATGAACAGGTGCAACGAGACAGGAAAATCTTGTACCTCCTAAGACAGACGCAGGCTGGTGCCAGGATCCCAAGTCATGGGGAAGAAAAAGGGTACCAGGGACAAAGAAGGTGGGGAAATAGTGAGGAAAAGTTCCTCTGATAAAACCCAAAGAATCCATGGAACAGTAGTGAAAGATCGCCAAAGGGTAACAATACAATATAGTCAAACTCCCACTGGACCAGAACCTTGTGGTTAGTCTTTGGTACTGTTGGCAACATGCCCATCAAAGGTGAATAAAACAACGAGATGAGAAACCCCTAGAAAGGAGACAGAGCTGGGTAGATAAGGACCAGGATGGGAAAAAAAATAGGGGCGTGTCGCGACTCCAACTACGACAAATGTGCAACCAAAGAGAAAAGGGTCAAGTGTTGGTGCACAGATTTTTTGCATAGTGAGAATAGCTATGTGAGTGGAGGTAATGTACCCTATCAGAAGTGACAAACTTTTCTTATTCAGTATCTATATAAGTATTCATTGCTACCTCTCTCAGTGGAATAGCATAGTTAGGAATTGATGCAAAATGTATAATGTTAAGTAAAACTCGTAAAGTAAATTTCACGAAATGTGGTAACAGATAATCTATTTGTTGTAGTAAGAGATTTGATGAATATTATTGAAGGTCTGATTAATGAACAATTACACGGTCAGACAAAGATTTTGATAATTTTAGTATAGAAACTTTTCAAGATACTTTAGGTAATCTTAATGTAGCTGAGTACTTTAATAATTTACATTAAAATATTATATGTGTTTTTGAATCTCAGTCTGTGAGTCTATTCTTTATTCTAATTGTAAACTTCCTCAAGTTAGTGACTTGTGCACTCCACTTGTGACTGTATACCTGGATTTAAATAAATCTGTTTGAACTGGTGTTAAAGTTGAACCCAAATGACCAGACTACACGGTCTCCCATTACACAGGTTCCTTAGTACGATAATTTTATGTGTTAATTGAGCTGACAAATATTATTTGAACTTGTTTTTTCTGAATTAACTCTGAAACAGATATTTAATTATCCATGGTTTTTGATAGGGGTAACAATCACAAAGATAACATTTAAGATTCTCCTTTAGTAAGTTACCTGGTTTGCCTGTTAGATAAAACTTTATAACAATTTCTTGCATACTGTTTTTCTAGAGAAAAACCTACATAAATACACATAATGAGACCATATTTATTTAAGAAATACAATGACTTTAATAATTTACTATAGAATTTAATAACCATGATTCCAAGAGTGATCATTCATAGAAAAATTTTAATAATGCTTAGAAGAACAAGAATACTGTAAATACCTGTGAAATAATGGCTTGGATATTTGGCATTTTGAACAAACCTTTATTCTTCATGAATTAATTACTTTGCCACAAATAGAAAAATCTACAGAAGAGATAAGAATTGTCTAAACTCAGCAAGCCTAGATTCTGATATACTTGGTAATAATTAAAAGAAACCAGTTGTACTATTAAAATAGGCTAATTCATAGAATCACATTATAACATCTAATTTTCAAAGTTTTCCCAGATACACTGATTTTTCTAAAGATCATTTATGAAGTAATCTCTAGAAACTCTTTACTTGCGACTTACAAACAACTGATGTACCCAACTTACCCTAATTCCTGGTGGGATCATTTCTGGGGTAATATTTGGTAGAAGAAGGACTAAAAGATTTTTATCATCAAAACTACATTCTCTCAGCATGTAAAACGCCTTAACTGCTATGTCTGCATTGTCATATGAGACAATCAATGAGCCATATTCATAATAGATTGGCCCAATCTGTTTGAACCTGTAGGCTATAACAATAGGAAAAGCAATATATCAGTGCATACATAGAAATCTAAGTACAACATTTTTTTTAAAAAGCTATTTTTGCCACATCACTTTTCTCAAGAGGTATTTAGGGAGTGTATCTGACTTGCGGGTTGTGTTTTATGTTGTTTGTTTGTTGTTAAGCACAAAGGTACACCATGAGATATCTGCGCTGTGCCCATCACAGGTATCAAAACCAGGTTTTTAGTGTTATGAGTCTTCAGACTTACCACTGAACCATTTTATAAAGTTTACATGCTTTGGATTGATTTTGAGATCATGTTGCAAGCTTTAAGCTGATGAAAAGCTGAGCTACATCCTGAAACATAATGTCAAGATGAAACAAAGGCAAGTACATAAAACACAGTCCACATTACTATCCCTTATTTAAGAACAAAAAGCACTTTAAAGGAACTATGGAAATATATGTCAAAAATAATTAAACAAAGTGCTTTAGGGGTGAGTCAACATTAAAATTAACACAAATAATTAAAAACCTTAAATGATTTTTATTAAGTAAACATCATCCATTGTGCTGAAAAAGTAAAATAAATGCATTTCTAATACATTTTATTAATCATATTGAAAATTAATAATCAAAATGGAACCCAACAGTAGCCTAAAAATTTAAAAAAGTAAAGCTCTTACCGATTTGTGTTATAAATTAATATTTTAAACAGTGCAAAAAATCTTATAAATTAAAGCTAAGCAAACTAATCAATTACCTACAAGTAGAAATTACACTGATTAACCTAACTGATTACATTATGATTAAGTCATTAATCAAAATCAGTATTTCTGATTATTACTGTTTTAAATTATACCAAAAATTAATTTAATTGAATTTACAGTTAAGCCAACTGTCATAATAATAATAATCATGTTTCTGATTATTACTATTTTTGATTATTGCAATTATTCATGTAATTACAGAGCCATAGGAAGTGGTAAGGCCAGTCAAGCCATGGTCTGACCACTTTTTCATGGCATGTATAGCTACAACTTATGTATTAAAACTAGCTTCATTTAATTCAACACATTACATTGTGTGTATGCAGTATTTGTAATTAAAATGGCTCACGATTCAATCTCATAGCATTAAATTTTCAAAACTGGGGAGCATGTCCCCAGACTTTCCTAGAAACAGCAATGTGGCAATGGCCTGACTACTCAAAAATTGCTTCCTACAGCAATGAATTGAAATATTGCCACCAAACTCACTTGCTCTGTCTTCATTATGGCTAAGCTCCTAAGGTTATCTACTAATTTTGAACTGCTGAAAAAAGAGAAAGCAAGTGTCTGGCAGCACCTACCATCAACCTTTTTCTTTCTTTTAAACTGCTGAACCAGAGGGAAGGCAACTGTGTAGCACCCATTGCCAATTTTTTGTTGTTCTTTCTATTGAGCTGCTGACTAGAAGGTAAGCTAATCAATAACTCGAATGTAAAAGATTAATGGGGCCATCAATTAGCCAATTAACAAATACCACTAATCACCCAGCTTCATTATAAAATGTGCTCTATAGGCTGTTTTACAATATATAAAATAATGAAGAATAACAAAATTAAGTTATCAAAATATGATACCCTATAATGCAAGCACTTTCTTCTTCAGGGGCAAACTAATTATCCTAAAATTGACTTTTGAATCCTGAAGAGACAAAATACAATACATTTGGATATTTCTAGACATAATTTTCTGTTTATTTCCTGTTTGAGTGAGTAATCTCAGTACAAATTTAACAGTTCATATTTTAGCAATTATTTATTACGAGTTGGGGGAACACATTCATTAACTGTACTTCATAAATCTAAGCAGCAGTAGAAACATCCTATATCAAACCATTGTTTTCTATAATTTAGTCTGAGTAAAATAAAACAAAGCACAACTCACTATGCTATCATCTCAAAAATATTTAGGGAAATCAGTAAAAAAAATATTTTAACAATCTTATCTTTATACACTTTGCTCATACTTCAAAACTGACACATCTATAAAAAATTGTGAACTAAACACCTACGTTTTCCCAGCATATCAATGAGAATCTTTTCATACTGTCGTTGCGAAAGGTTTGGAGGGAGATTGCCAATAAACAGTGCTACTGTAATACCAGGAGACTCATCTTTCTGTTGCAGATAAAACCTCGTCAAGCTCATTTGCCTAATAGATTCCTAAAAATAAAGACAGAAATAATTAATTTCTCAATTCCAAAAATTCAGCCTCTAAACAGACAATGTATATACAACACCAATAAGCATCTGAATACTAAATATAACTTAGAAGGAATATAAACAAAATAGATAGAGAATTATTACTGGATTAAAATTACCTAAGGTTATTATTTTTAGTGGCTATATTTCTCAACCAAAAGTATTTGACAGTGGAATTCTAGAGTTACCAATGATCAACCAATGATAATTTATTCCTGCTCATTAATTCAGTGATCTTTTTATTAAATCTACTTGTCAGTACAGCAACATAGTTGCTAAACATAATTGGACCGTTTAAAATTAGAACTATGATTTAATTCCTAATTCTCCACATGTGGTTCTTTGGAAAATATTTCAAAATAGGCCAGATGATTTCAATACTGTATGTTTCTTTTTGGGCAAAACAAAAACATTAAAGGAATTAAAATAATCTCCCTTTTGATAAATAATTATCCTATTTTATTCATATAGTGTTCTTAGACATAAAACATAGGTTATAATTAAAATTTCAATATATGTTTTGATTTCTTAATTTCACATGATATATTTAAATAAATTCTCAATCTTCACTTTTTTTTGTATCATGTAAAATTAATTTACTCCAAATTGTCTATTTTAGACTATTTGTATCCTATGTGGTCTTCTCAATTTGGCACAAGTTACACATTTATAGTATAGATATTGTTAATACATCATAATAAACTTGTATCTTCCAATCTTCTTGCTTTATTGACCATCAAGTGCCATAACACATACCTCAGATCAAAATTCCCTTTTTAATGTATATTCATTTATTGTTATAAAGGTAACTAAGATGTAAAAATTAGAAGATCATTAGGATTGATAAGAAAACTTGAATGAAAAAAATAATAATACAAAATTTGCTCTATGAAGCATGAGCATAAGCTGTTAATGTGTTATGTAATTTGATACTGCATTTACCATAACTTGAGCTCTGGTGTCATTGGGTGTTACACTAGTTTAGTAGTTAAAACACAGTCCTAAGAACAATAAAAGAATAAAATTCAATGAAAACACTTGTGAAAAGCTGTCAGGATAAATAATTGTAATTGTATGTTACAATCTGCAGTCATTCTAGAAAAAAAATGTTCTTTTGGTTTTATTTCATATTTTTTAACTTTTGCTACAATTAGTGTTATGGTAGAAAAAATAAAAAAATAACAGATAGAATATAAAGTTTTACAAAAAAAACTTTTGATATTCAATTAGGAGGTCCTAGAAGTTACATAAGAGAAATATGAAAACTCTAAGATGAAAAAAGTATTTGCATTCTTAACATGAAAATCACCTTACATCCAGACTAGCCAGAGTTTGTGTCAAACCGACTTCATAAATTCACATATGCTTAGGAAAATATTTGTTAAAAAAATCCAATTTTTTATGTACAATAGATGTGTAATGTTTACTAAACATTTGTCAAAGTTTGAGAAGACAGAAATAGTAAATTCCAGATTACGGTAAATATTAATTCTTTAATAAAGTGTCAATCTGCTCATGCACGTAAGATTAACACAGATTACATCTATTTTGACTATGTATAACATTTCACTTGTAGTGAGTGCACTAGCAATCAAACATTTATTATTTAAGAAATGCTGCAAATCACCTACAATTTCTTTTTTTTTCCTTTTTATTATTTTCATCCAGAAAATCAAAAAGAAATTTCTGTTTAGACACTTTCACCTTCAGTAGGAAGCATGCTACCTAATAATGCTTGGAGACGGCTTGAATGGGTAATGAAGATAATCTTTAATATAAGTTTAACATAACAGCAAATGTACAACGTTTCGACAAGGTTCTGTACATTTCCTGTTATGTTAAACTTATATTAAAGTTTTTCTCCATTATCCATTCAAGCTGTCTCCAAGAATCATTAGTCTCAAAGTGGGTTCCTCGTCATTGAATGTGGCGTACTTGTTTTCATAAATATACTGAATGATCTGCAAGTAGCATTCTTTGTTCAAAATCTGTACTAAGATGAGATTAATCAGCTGAATACTAAAGAAGTAGACAGAATGGTTCTAAACTTAAATAATTCATTATTAGTTGTTGCAAAGTCCTTAACATATTAGTCACGTATAATTTATTGCAACAAGAGCAGTTTTAGTAATATCTGATTTCTGAAATTCCACTTCAAACAAAAGCTAGATAATGAAAATTTGTATTTACTGACAATAGGTTTTGCTCACTTCTACAAACTAGTAAATGTCTAATTTTTATCCCAGGTTAGACAAGTTTCATTACTCAGTCTATAGGTAATCAAATGAAACTTCAATATTAATCTAGTTTTTGTAATTAGTTCTAAGGGTTATATGTTATACTGGTAATATTTCTCAAGCAAGAGTTATTCAAAGTTGAAGTTCAAGAACACCCTGGCTCTGTTACTAAATGTACAGTTAATGTGCTTGAGTTCCACAGATAGAATCTTGGACCCTAAATATCCCATATAACATAGTTACTCAATGACAAATCACAAATTACCCAGGTTTACATTCTTGCTTCCATGTCTATAATACTAAATATTAATCCCTACATATATTCCTAAACACTGAATTGATCAAAGTCTAGTGTCAGATTTAGTATGGCTATACTAATCGATTTAAACACAGTGCTGTTCAATATCTATATGAAAACTTACTATGGTTACATTATTTAATTAATGTTATTCAATGAGTAAGTAGAAACTTAAGGATAGATAAACTTCTAAACCTTGTTAAATCTAAACTTACTCTGGCTATAATCCTACAATAAGAACTATTCTATTTGATTCCTGAAATCAGGACTTTATCTAATAACCATGCTGTATTTTCAGTATAAACTTATTCAAAGATTGTCCACACTTACCATGGTTACATTCAAAAATCCAGTTATTCAATGTCAAGCTTAAACTTCCCCTTGCAACATTGATATTTATCCCATTTGAATTTGATTTTAAGCTGTATGTATTTTTAAAGTAGAGTTAGTCAAGTGTAGATCCAGAACTACGACGACTGTTTATCAAATACATTTTATTCAAAGTCTAATCTTTACTTACTCTGGCTATGTTCCTAAGAAGTTCCCATGGACACTCTTGATTGTCCATAATTCTTTCATGGACAGCTGAAAAACCAATCATTCTAGTAAACAACTGTAACATTTACATTACATTATTTTTCCAGTATAAAAAATTCAAAAATTAGTTTTATATATTTTGAATATAAACATTAGTGGTAACATATTGTGACAAGAAATGAAGTCAGAAAGTCTAAGAGTACAGTTTTGATTTTAGAAAATTAACAGGCAATATTCTAACAATTTAAAGATGAAAGTTTGATGTATTGGCAGTATTAAATAAGATGAGGAGGTTAAATGACAGCCATGTTAAAATATAGTTTGGAGAACACGGGAAATTCACAAATCAATTTTTATGGTACACACTTTTGAGTAGTGGTGATGATTAGAGTGCATTCTCTAACAAAATAAAAGTCAGGAATAAAAAATTACCATACAGACCAGAAAGGCTAAAGCTTAAGAGTCTATGAACAAAATGAACATTATTTGTTGGAATAATCTTACAGCCTCTGTCCAGAGAAACTTCATTTAGTCGAAATTTATTCAAATTGGTTGAATCAAGACCAAGTTTTTCTAAGGCCTGCACCATAATTTCTTCTACACTTGAGTCAGCTGTCACAGAAACAGTGACGTAGGTTTCAGTTACACTGTAAAAGAATGCTCTTTTTTACCTTATCACCCAATATCCATTGGTGTCATTTCTTAACAAATAATCTTAAAATAAGTTCCAAACTACTTAAATAAAATATTCAAGAAACTTATATTCTGAAGGTACTTAATGCATGAAAAAATCATTATTTCAACATTTACAAATATGTATGTAAGTGTAATTAATACATTTATTTGAATCAAAAGTATATTTCCTACAATGTGCATACAATTAAACTGAGGAATAAGTATATACCAAGAACCTGTCTTACTAAGATTACTAAATGACTGACAAAAATTAACATTTTCCTAATCTGAAAATGTATTTCCTTCACATGTTTGCCTATGAGATTTGCATACCACTAGCTAACTCCCACCTAAATTTACATGTTTGATGTGATCTGTACTGATCTATGGTGACATCATCATGCTACAATAGCCTTCCACCAACAGGATAGCGACACAACCCCCATGTACAGTAACTACCTCTATGCATTTGCACTCACAATAGTTTCATTTTTAGATGAGGCAAGAAAACAAAGGTGCACCAGAAGTGCATGGGTAGGAATGTGTGAGGAGTTGAAAATCTATTGAAAATACATTTCAGATTAGGAAAATGTTAATTTCTGAGACAATAACTCACCTACACACAGACATGCATTAATCCTATGTTGAAGTGGTAGATGGGCTAGTGTAGAATTTTACCTAGACAAGCTCCCTTCAGAAAGCACCTGAAGAGAAAATCCATGTAGTGTGACACCCAATGTCAGGAGATTCATAGGAGCACACCCTTGGGAGAGTGCATCTTGTCTCGACCAGGGTATACTATTCATCCAACACTGCCAGAGAACATGTGATAGTGGAAACCAGAAAATCATGGTTGAATAGTAAAGTAAAAAAGGAAGAAATATGGTTCACAACAGGATGGGTGGGAAGAAAGGGGTGACAGAGGGCCCAACAATAAAAAACCCACCACTGCCTTTGGTAGACAAAGTGTAAGGGGAATAGGAATGGGACAAGAAGAAGAAGGCTACATGATCAGACAGTCTGGCCTGATGGGTGAGGGATCAGACAAATCTCACACGTGAAGAAGAAGAGACAATATCCCTTCATGAAAAAGGGATGTGTGGGGCTGAAGCAATAAAGAGGGGAAATTTGGTGTAGGAAGGGGGCCTGGATGCTAAGCAAAGAAGAAAACCAAGGCTGAGCTAACTGAAGAGGCACCACCAGGAGGATGCAACAAAGAGAGTCATGTATCAGGGAGAGGACCCAAGGAAGGATTTGAAGAGGAGGATAGGGATGTATACAAAAGTGAGACCAGGCCTGACTGTGAACATCACCAGCCAGAGCCGAAGGAAGAGGAACAGATGACCAGAAGAGAGGAAGCTTGAAGTTGAAAAGGGTGGGAAAGGTGTCCATGAGAGGTGTGCCCAACTGAGCACAAACCCAGTGAAAGACCTGGGTGTGGAGAAACCACTCTGAGGGTAGAACACAGTTTGGCTGAGGCAGTCCACAACAAGGTTCATAGCTCCTGGCACATAACAAGTGATAAGATGGAGTCAATGGGAATGTGCCCAGAAGAGAAGGTCCAATGCCCCAAAACAGGTGCTCCCTAGATAATTAATGTGAGAAATGACTGGAATTGTTGGAATGGATTGTGACCAAGTCATCAAACAGAAAAGGTAGGAAAAAGGAATAATAGCAAGAAGTTTGAGCATGTTGATATGGGGTGAACTCTCGTTCTGGGTTCAATTGCTAGATAACATGTTGACATTCAGTGATATGCCCCAACCTGACAAGGAGGCACCAGTGAAGAGATAGATATCTGGTCTGAGTGGTTGTAAGGGAACACTGGATGTAGTATTGGCACGGTCTAGCTACCAAGATAATTCCAGAGTAGAGGTTCACAATCAAGGATAATGGATCCTGAGAGGAGATCCAAGGTCCAATAAAGGAGGCACATGTGTGTGAACAACAAAGGAATGAGAGGCTCCAGAGAAACCAGAGTTCCCAAAAGAGAAAGAATCTCTTGTGTAGGATGAGAATGAAAAATGAAAATATAGTAACCAGACATTCAGTGGCCCACAGCTGAAGAGAAGAATGCTAAGCCTGACTGAAACAAGAGTCTAAGAAAACACACAGACATACCAAATATTGTGTGAGTATGAGATAGGACTTGTATATATGAACATATAAGGGGCTTGATACTATGTCAAAGGGAAGAGCATGGAAATGGAAGATGCAATTTCAATGGACAAAATCTAGAGGACAGCACAATCCACAGACTGAGTGAAAAAGATGACTGGAGAAAAAAGAAATTCTCCAACTAGAATGAAGGAATGTTCAGAAAATGGTCGCAAGACAATGTATTGATCAGCAAAGAGAAGTGGAGAGAGAGTGATTGTAGAAGAAAACACGAAAAACTTGTCCACTGGCTTAAAACCAAGATGAACAGCTGGTGAAGAGAGAGAAATGGGTACCCACTGAGCACGATTCAAAAGGATAGTCACTGATAAGAAGAGCAACAAATCAACCATTGATTAGCAGGAGGAAGAGGAAGGATTGAAATCTGGAATTGGAAAGGTAGGAGTAGACTGAACCAGTTGAGGAACAGGAATTGAGGGACAAGGTTGAGAAAGACAAAAAATATGGGAAGATAATGAGAACTTAAGCCAGGCAACTTCAGCCTGGGTTTATAGTGAAACATGAAAAAACTGAAGACTTGCAATTGAAGAAAGGGTGCCCAAAGAATACACATACACAAAAAAGGGGAAGGTCTACTTTAATGAAGAGCACACCTAGACCCAATGAGTCCCAACAGTAAAGGAACTAAGAAGGGAGAGAGTAGAAGAAGAGGAACAGATGAAGGTGCAAAGAGACAGGAATGAACCTCCCCAGAGTACAATGAAATGACCATAACAAAAGGTGAAGGGAGGAGAGGTAACATAGGAAGTTGGTAAGAAAAAGAGGAAAAACGTGAAAATTGGGTACTAGAGAGTGCAAAATAGAAGGCAAGGGGAGTTCACTCCCCAAGCAGGCAAAAGAGATTCTGAAGACATGGAATATAGTAAAGAAAATGTAGAATGGTTGTAAGTCAGGACAAAAAAGTTACAAGTATGAGGGGATGAAGCATGTGGGTGGAAGTGTGGAGCTGTTCCAGAAAGAAAACAGTATAAGCCCTAATATCATGAAAAGGAGGAAAGACAAAGCAAACACAAAAATTGGGTTCAAGGAGTAAAGAAATGGAAATATTAAAGGACACAGGGGAAGGATAATGAAAAGAACATACCTGAGAAAGCGTAACCAGAAAAAGTTTAAAAAGTTAAAGGTATTCATACATTGGTAAGGCATTATACAAAGCAAAGCAGGTTAAAATCGTTGTCCAAATAGCTACTCCCAACTAAGGAGAAGGAACATAGGCTGAAGGGATTGGAGGAGGAAACCTACTGTGAATGAGGTAATCCACTACACATTGAACAAAGGCTGTAGCTTCTCCAACATTTAACAAGCCTCCAGAAACTATAGTAGAAATATGACCTGTGAGTTTAACAAATAAAGGTCACCATCACTTGAGAAATCATGAAAAGAACTAAGGCTTTTGAAACAAAAGCTAAAGAAAATAAAAACCAAAGTTTCGTTAACAGATGCAAATTTTACCAAACTGAACTCAGATGAGAAATTTCGAAAATATCTGTTCAACCTAATGCCAATGGAATGAATGAAATAATCAGGAGTGCAAATGCATAGGGAGTTACGTGCATGAAGGTTGTGTCACCCTTCTATTGATGGAGGGCTATTGTCACATGATTATGTCATCATACACAAGCACAGTTCACAATAAACGTGAATTTAGGTGGGAGTTATCTCAAGGTTAGTGGCATGCAAATCTCACAGGCGGACAAATGAGGAAATAACATTTCTGTGTACAAATGTGAGTTATTACCTTAGAAATTGATTTTTTAAAGCTGTACTAAAGTAAGATACATGCATTTAGAACACAGCTCAAATGATACCATGTGATGATTAAAAGTGTGGAACATGACATTTATAATGGAATTTTTGGGTCCTTTTATCTTACCATTTAGTAATCTAAATTAATTTAATATGTGAACAATGTTATGGTATTGCAACAAACTGGAATATGAGTTATCAATTAAGCCTCAGTGTCATGATAATGGTAAAGTACGAAATTTGGATTTTGTTTTTTAAATTTATGATGTACTTAGATGTTATTGATATCAATAGAATACTTCAATTGCTCTATTTTGTTAGATTATAGCTTTCTTTTGAGAACAGTAAGTTAAAAATGATCATTATTTTGAACCAAAAATATGCAATTTGGTTGAATGTACTTCTCATAATTGACAAAATGCTCGTAATATAAACTTAGTGCTTACATATCTACATATACAGTTATAATTATCACACAAATACAATAAAGTTTCTCTATATTTAAATGATAGCTAATTTTTCTCAAACTAGAGTTGAGATGAATTTTAAGTTTTGCAAGAGTAACACAAATTCAAATATTTTTTTCATAACATATCTACGTATGATGTGCTTTATTACAGTACTATGATAAATTAATTACAAGAAAGAGAATATAGAACATGAAGAATGTGTTATGTTGTACCTAAATCTTTGATGAAATAAAAATATAGGAATATATAATAAATTATATTTGGTACTGCAAACTTAAATGTCTTTTGTGTCATAAAAATCAATATTTTTGAGAAGAAAATACATCATCGTAACATGTCATATAAATAATTTCAAACCTCTTACAAAGTCAATTTTTACTTGTAAACAACAAAATATATGTAACATTATATCAAAGAATTGGAAACATACCCTAAATTACCAGGATAGACTTTTAAAGAACCCTTTTCTGGTTCTGGTGGGCGATACCTTAAGAAGATAGCCGGTCTTTTTCCTTCTCGCCGTGTTAGGCTCTGCACTGGTAGAAAGTCCCCAAGTTCTTTTTCATTGGGGTCTAACATGACCAAAAAAAATATAACAGAAGTTAAGTAAATCAAATCAGAGTATTAAATTAAGTATCAGTATATAAATCAATAACAAAAATATCTTCATTAAAATAATGGCAATGTACTAAACAAGTGTATGACTAAGACCTTTTTCACGAAATATTAAAATAAGGATTTGGCAGAATAATTCTTCCCATGACAAATATCTGTCACAGCAAGTACAATAATCAGATATAATCTATTAAAGCATACATCTGTTTCTAGATTTACAATTCTAGTTTCTTTTATTGATTTGAACACATAATATCTTTATTTTCTTAACCATTTCTTGTTCAGTATAGTGAGTGCCAAATGTTTGTACAAAATTCCTAATACCAAGACCAACTCTACCTATTGTACCTAAGAGATCTACTAATATTGGAGAAATATTATGTTAGTGATGACTGAAAAACCAGTAAAAATTAATCATTTCAACATATCTGTTGTATTACATTATTTTTTTATTATTTTATCCATTCATAGAGATATTTGAATATCTTTATGTGCTACAAAGTATCAGCATACCCCACAATGATTACAAGGTATAAAAAAGGCTTAACTCTTCCTTGTAAGGCTTAATGCAAACACACCAGATAACAACTCATTTTCATGAACTTGGCCTGATGTACTGAAGCACACAAAAGCTAAAAACTGGCAACTTGCTATTAAGTTAAATAAAAGTCCAAATATACAGTTTTTCAGTAGATTATTTATCTTTATTTAACTTTTTTATGTGGCCACTCATGTGGTCATCATTGGATAATTGTCTCTATTTTGTGAAATACTGCACAAGCATTTTGTTCCAATTTAGAAAACATATAGGGGTGACACCTGTGTTTTGACTTAAATTAAGTTTTAGTTCACAAATAATTAATGCTTCTTTTATTTTTCTTCTATTAATGTTGTTCTCATTGCATAATATTTTAAAGTTGTTAATGTTAACTGGATGTTGATTCATTGTGCAATGAGAACATTAACAGAATTTACCTGATGAAGGCCACATGAGTGGTCAAAACATTGTAAAAAAAGTTAAATAAAAATAAACATCCTATTCAAAAAATTTATCTTTGGACTTTTATTTAAAGTGTATAGTGGATTTCCTCTCCACACAACAAATGCTATTAAGTTAGTAATATTAATGTTCAATATTCTTATTGTACAGTTTCATCAAGAAATCAGTACTGCACTAAACTGAGATAAGTACAACAGAATGAAACAATGTATAACAACATACAGCTCAGACAGCATATAAGTAAATATTGCTGAAAATTGGCTACTGTTAATCACTTTTAATGTAAAAGTCAAAAGAAAGAATGCTACTTAAAGAAACACTACAAAGGAAGAACTTAGAAAAAAGAAAAAAAATGTGTAAACTTTTTTTTGAGAATTAATGAGTTAAAGAAATTGCTGTTGCTAAACTGTCCATTTCAATATAAGGGCTTTACTCATCAAAAACAGGTACTATTAATCTTTTAGAAATTATCATCAGTTTATTGTTTCTGTATTACCAAAAAACACTTTTAAATGTTATTATAACAGTAAACATTTTTTGAAAATACTTTTCTTCAATTTTTCTCAAAAATTCATATGCCAGTTATTTTAAACTGATGGCACAAAAGAAAATATATTAATCAATTTTTTATACCACTTCCACAGAGAAGTGAAAACTTACCATAAACATCTATCAAATAATAATTATTAGGATCATCGTGGATGTGGAATGCTCTTAACGCTGCACCCTGAAAATAAGACATAAATACTAATGTGAACATTATAGCAGATTTCTGTTGGCATATTTCTTTCAAACTCACTGAATCTTCACTGTGAAAGATGTCAATTCTCAGTAATTATTAACACAGTTTTTCTATATATTTTCTGTTACTATTTTACTGTATTTTTATGTAAAATGACAAAAACAACAGAAAACTAGAAAAACAATATCCTACTCTTAAATAAGTACTTAGAAGCTTTTTTTCTGATAAGGTAATATATGAATTCAAAAACATACAATGACTTGTTCTTTCATTGCTTTCTGAGAAATACTGATTGTCCTGTAGGCTGACCTCTTCATAGAGGAATTTCCATCATATACTCTGATTAATTCTGAAAAATATTGAGTAACATTTAATTATCCTCTTTACACTAAATACTCATTTCAACAGAAAAAGAAGCATTAAATGAGAAATCTCTATAGACAAAAGTTAAATGCTTACCATAATCTATTCTAGTTAATTGAAATAAATGTAAAACACGTTCATTTCAAAATCAGGCTAAGTTTTATAAGTTAATCTGATTTGGTGTTAATGCTATGAGTTTTTAAGTATATCTCTTTCTTTATTACATACTTTATAAGATGCTAAATTTAACCTGTAGTAAAATGTTTTACTTTGAGAAAAATTTAACCTTTTCCTTTCTGAAAACAATGAGCAGTAGATTAAGTCAATTTAACCAAACCTTTAACTGTAAAAGTTACCTTCTTCTCGGTCTTTTTCTCTTGGAGATGAATAATCATCATATTCTTTGTTCTTTACGTCTCCACTAGAGGAGAATTCTTCAGATACACTCCTTGCAGCTACATTAAAAAAAAAGCACAAAAAAACAGCTGACAGTAAACCTCTACATAATATCACATTTTTATCTCACTTGAAATCCACAAGTTATAAAAAAATCACAAAATAACCAGAAGTATACTTGATATGTTTATACTTTTCATACATAAGATGAATTACATAATATATTCATATGACTTATAAACTGTTAATATAATTAATCCTTATGAAAAGTAACCTGAGAGTAATTCAAGCAACTACTTTTTACTAGATCATTAATAACATACTTATTACTAATTTTATATAACTGTTCAGAATATCACTGAATACGGTTATGTAAAAATGTATTTTTATTTTTGTTACTTATAATATTAATACTATTCAGCCTGATTACTTTTATTTAAAAATTGCATACATGTACATATGCTAATAAAAAATCATTTTCTTAAAACGTTTAATTAATAGATTAAAAATAAAATAAAACATTATCTATACGATTATTCAGCCACTAAGATGACAAAACAGAATTTGTTTCTTTATGAACTATTTCCTGTCTCCCACATCTCGCAACAATAAGTGACAAATTCGATGACGAGGAACCCACTTTGAGACTAATAATGGCTGGAGACGGCTTGAATGGGTAATGAAGAAAAACTTTAATATAAGTTTAACATAACAGCAAATGTACAACGTTTCGACAACAATAAGTGACAAAGTAAATATATTTTCTGCTTTATTACATTTTAATTTTTAAAATCAAACCAGTTTTTCTTCTCTTCCACTTAACTTAACTTTTTAAATATTATTTTAATGGTATATTAATATAAATAAAAATGTCTTAACTGCTTCAGAAAAATCTTAAATGAAATACACATGTATAATATTACACTTAATTTGTTTGGTATAAGCACTTATGAGGTATATGAACACACAAGAAACTTACTGATTATATCTAATTCTTGCATCTTACAGTAACTTTATTCTTGAATGAGTTATATTAACATATCATTCATTAAAGTTTAATCCTTTGATTATTCTGAAACTAACAATAATTCAATTGATTTCATTTCTCTTTGCAATATTTTCTTTAGAACCAATTGTATAATACCAAACTTATGAACTATAAAATACCAATGGTATAGTAATTTTTGTCCAACCCTGTATAATACATGCTTGCTTTGTTTTAGTGCATATGAAAACCTTCAGTAATATCATTAAAATAACATATCTGCTGATTTAGTTGATGCAGATAATTAAACAGGGGTGTGCAATTTAAAAACAACAACAAAAAACATTCTTGTCCATTTCACAAAATGCTAGGAAGATCTATTTACCCCCCCCCTCCTCACAGTCTCATAAAATACCCACAATAATCAATTATAGCTTTTAGGATTTTGTTTTTAATAAATAATGAACAACAGTCAAAATTGCTGCACTCATTCAGTCTATATTAGAAAAGTGTGATCTTAAAAAATAATAACATAGTAAAGAATGAAGATAACCACAAACTCAAATATGCTCCCCAAAAATTATCATTTGTAAAGCAATAAAAATAATGTTTCAAACAAAAAGACTTTGTCAGATTGTTTTGTTTTTTTAGAGCAAATGCCACACTGGGCTATCTGCTGTGTCCACCGCAGGGAATCAAACCCCGGATTTTAGTTTTGTAAGTCCATAGACTTATCACTGTTCCACTAGGGGACTCTTCATCACAAGAAAATGAACACAATCAATTAATGAGACTAATAATAATTTTTGCTTCCTGAAAGTAAATAATGAAAACATAATTCCACTAAACATACTTGCCAAAACTAAACACATCTGATTTTTGTGCATAACACATTGCAAAACAGAGATAATAATTTTTATTTCTTCTTGGTTCACTTTTCACATATATTTCCAAGCAATGTTATTGTGTTTCTGTTTTCATGCAAGTTGATTTCTTTACCATATATATATATATGTTAAATTTCAGACTATTTACTTAAATCATTTACTTTAAAAATGAATTTGGCAAGGTACTCTATATTCCAGAGTCTGAAATTTGCATTGTTTAATTAACCCTGACCAGCTAAGAGGCCTATCGGCTGACTAGAATAACAAAAAACTATTCTAATAGGACTTGTTGAGCTGATTAGAGTTTTAAGCATTTTTCCTATTTTAATCTGTCATCAAACATATATTTTTTATATACTTTTTTCCTAAAACCATCGTTATGTTTCAGTCTTGTAAAAGTATTTCCTTTTCTTCAATCTCCCAAATGGAACCTTTAGTTTTTCTGGAGATCGTTGACCTATCATTTTTAAACATTATGGAAAAATTCCTATGATGTATAAAAAGAAAAGGAGGTTCCTGGTACAAGTGAATGGTGGATTGATCTGCATGAAGTATAATGAATATTAATATCTAAATGGAGAAATACCTTACCTTTTGGTCAATATCAAAATAGTAATTTCAAGTCAAAATTTTTTTTTGTATATTTATCTGGATTAATACAAAGATTATGTACATTCGAAAAGTGATATAATTAATACAATTTTATTTAATGTTACACATATATGCACATACATACTTGCAATTGTGTCTTGATGATGTGTTTTTATGTTTCATATTTACACTGTATATATCCAGATGTCATGTTAATGCAAAATTCTGCATTATATATGAAGGAAATTTTAAGAAAATACAAAAAGATAAGAGCACTGCATTTCTAAAATGTAGATATAATGAGGCTAATTGGTTTAAATTACCAACTGTTTTTTTTGTGCATAAAGTGCAACATGAAAAACATTCCACTGCTCAAAAAAAAAAAATCTGTATGCATATATCCAAAAGCAATAAAATTTTGGTAACAAGAAGTGAATCTAGCCTTTTGTTAGTTCATGTCCCTTCGATAAGAATTTAAACAGTACTGTCATCACAATAAAACTAATGTTATCTGATTAGAGTCTGGGATTTCTTATTACTTATTCCCTATTGGGTTTGAAACTTTGTAATGTAAAGGTATAATAATTAGAATTTCTATTACATTATTTTAACTTAGGTTACTTTAGAACGATGTGTTTGAAACTGCTTAATCTAAAACTAGCTGTGACCTGCAAAAACATTTTCAGTAGTTTTCATGCCCTTCACTTGAATTTTCATTATTCTATCATTTTCACGCATGTCACTTAAAGCTAGGATTTCATGCAGGTATTATGTGTTAGATTGATAAATCCTGGTCTATTTGAAAAAAATTACACAGTCAGGAAAACAAACTCACATAGACATAACTTTATTTAAGAAAACTACACATGTAAAGTAAACAATAAAGTAAAATAATAGTATTTATAATTGTGTATAGAGTATGAAACAGCTATGAGCATTCAGTGATGACACAATTTTAAAAGTTGAACAAAGAAACTAAAATGATGAACAAAATCCATAGGAGAGAAATAAGTACCTAAAAGGTGTTTATAGCAGTCAATGAAATGAACCAAAGCCAAATTATTACAAAGTAAAGTTGTAATGAAGGCACACTTAGCTGAATATGCCGAAACGTCTGAATGTATGTTCACAAAGTGATAAGTATAGGATTTTGAACAAACTTTGCATGCATATTTTAGATCTAAATAATTCAAGAAAGCCTATAGAAATTGTATTTATTGTAATGTTTATTCTTCTTTAGGAAATTACAGGCAGGCTAAGTGTTGTTTGTGAGAAATACTTTGCAAATAAAAAAACTAATGTTGAAATCGAAGCCAGTCATCACGTGATGACAATGACCTTGCTCCATAGTGTACCATACTCACTGCATTAAAAAGTTTGAGTAAGCAAAAAACAGGTAAAATGATTCTGAATGGAAAAAACCAATACAAAATCTGGACTTCTCTGACATAGGCCTTTCTAACAATATGAGATTTGTAATGTTTGATATTGGAATTTGCAAGAAAAGTTCCATACAGGCAACTGCAAACATATTATCTATATAGATACTATATTATAATTGTTGAAATTTCTCTTCTTTCATGTAAAAAATACTAAAAATGTAGTTACAGTATTACACGGCTAACTTTCATAAAGTTGACATACATCATACTCATCATAAAAAATAAAATATTACAGTGGCCAGCATGAGAAATTAACCAGTGTTGTTAATACAATAGTACTATATTATTTGAATAGATTTTCTAGTTTTATTTTTATTCATTCCATAATTGCTTTTAAACTTTATAAGATAAAGTATGATTATCAAAGTTTTATTCTACAAAATTAATAGATACTAGACAACCCATGACCCGTTGGGTCACCCACTATTCAGAGGTTATGAAGAATTCAAGCTAATTTCAATCTTGCACTGAAATGAAGGTTTATTTTGAGAAAATTTAATTAAATATTTCAATCCATTCATGTTATTCATAATTCAAGAAAAGATATTTGATTGTTGATCGGGAGTAAAAGTAAAGACCATTTCATTCGTCTATTATGTTGTGGTCTTCTCTCTTAAACCTTATACAAATAACAAACAGTAACACTTTATTTTTTCTTCAAATTACCTACCATAACCAAGGCACATTATTGAGAAATTC